ATCCATCGCAGCGCACAAAGTTGAAAAAACATGTAACAAGGCTGTTTCTGTCGAATGATATTTTCTGTATCCTGACTGATTACTATGCAACAAATTATTTTTAGACAAATGGTTTAACAGCTCGTTAGCGACAATTCTTTCCATTACCTTAGATATGAAGCGAAGATTTGATATTGGCCTATAATTGGTAATATCATTGACATCATGATCTATTCCTTTAAAAAGTGGTATAACCATTGCATGTTTATAGGATGCAGGAACGATGCCATTAGTCAAAAACAAGTTGATTAGACTTGTTAAAAACCCAGAGAACAAACCAATGTGTTTTTTGAAGAAATACGTTGGAAGGCAATCAAGTAAACATGTTTTCGTTGGACAATTTATAATTATTTTTATTATTTTTTTTTCACTATATTTCCGGAATACTAGCAACCCACTGCTCATTTCAATCTCCCTTTCAAGAAAAACTGATTCGTTACCAGCCGTTTCATCTCGAACTCGTTCAATTTTTACATTAAAAATTTTTAGAAAACCATCACTAGTGTGCACCGTTCCAGTCCTATCAATATTGTCAACAGAGGCTTTGCAAAGTAGTTTATTTAGTGCATTCCATAATTGTTTTGGCCTGTTTCTATTCTCATCAACCAAATTTGACCAAAAACAGTTTTTTTTCTTGGCCAAAACCAACTTCTTTGATTTTAGTGCACTAATCCATTTATCTTCTCCATCACTTGACAATGAGTTCCTGTAATTTCTTTCGATCTTTCTATAGAGTCTTTTATGCTCCCGACATTCATTATCATACCATGGCACCACAGAATCATGACGACATTTTACTCTGTGTAGCGGTGCAACTATATCTAAAATCCTTCTTATTTCATTTTCAAATAGGTCAAACAACTTGTCAACATCTGCACCTGAACATGCTTTACCAATCGGTGAACCAATAACCAACGAGATAAATTTTTTTTCATCAATATGTTTCCACGATCTGATCACCCTGTAGCATTTACTGATTCGTTTCCGTTTAAAAGGCAAACAAGCTTTAACCAGTCCGTGGTCAGAATATATTCCACTTGGATAAACCATTACATCAGAAATACACAAACTACTACTGGAAACAATCAAATCCAGTGTTTCACCTAAGTTATGAGTGGGTTGGTCAATCCAATTCTTCAAACTAAAATCATCAAATAACTCCAACAATGATCTGGTATGCGGACATTCTTCTCTATCGACACGAACATTAAAATCACCTACCAAGACAAGATCTGAAACCAGCAAAGACATATTTTCCAAAATACATCTAAGTTCCCTAAAGAAAGCAGTTGTGATAGGCATTGATCCAGGTCTATATATGGCCAACAAACCAAATTCATGTTCACCGTATGTTATTCTTGTTGTTATTGCCTCAAACGTAGCTAATGATGGTAAGTCAAATCGTGTGTATCTGAACCCTGTTTTAAAATAGATTATCAATCCCCCATGATATGGATCATGTTTTCTGACATAGTCAACATAACTGTACCCGTCAGGCATTGCCGATTTTAAGGAAATATCATTTTGATGTCCATGCTATGTTTCGGTTAACACTAACACATCTAGTCCATTAACCAGGAGTTCATACATATCACTTGATTTGGATACAATTGATGTGATATATAATAGTCCTAGACATATTTTACCATCATTGAAATTATCATCAAAGCTCAGCAATCTATTGACAAAGCCGTTTGAAGAACCTTCATTTTTACACAAATCATCTAATTTTCCGTCCCCTTCATGAACTTTATGATCTTCCACCTTCCAACCATTTCCCTTACTCTGTATAAAAAACCTTGTTGACATGCCGCCTCTTTCGCTTTAGCATCAGTCACCAAATTCTTCAGTTCACTCCTTTGCTCGCGCGTCAAATCATTACACAATCTGATGTTCTTTAAGTTATCTTCCAATGACCTAATTTTAAAAGCATGCTTTAAAAGATCCCACTTCGTACCTAGACTATCTAACTTTATCAAGACCGGACGAATCACCGATTCATTCTTTTTACCCAATCTAAAGACCTTCTCAATACCATTATCTGACATGTCTTTTGAAATGTGCTTGAATATCTTCATCACAAGTTCACGATCGTTTTGATTTTCTTTCTCTGGCAAGTTGAAAATCACTAAATTCCTTTCTCTTTCTTTTATTTCACTGGCTTCATTCAAGGTCCTTTGGACGTTTTTGACCTGATTATTTATAATCTCTACATTTTTCATAATGTTT